AACTAGTAACACAAGACCAAAACAATGGTCTGAGTTATTTACAAGACTTAAGGGGGGAAAAGCAGTGTTTACAAATTTCTCTCCTAGCCAAAAAATATGTTCTAAAAATCAAAATGCCCTTATTTTAGACTATTCTTTATTTGAAGTTTTTTATATTTCTAAATAGAACTTGTAATAGGCTTTAAATAATATTTAGTAGAGAAGTAAGTTTTTTTTTTAAAAAAAAAAGAAAGATTGAAGTAAATTAAATCTTACTAAAAGCTGATTTATATATATTCCTAATGCTGTTACATAATAGGTTTTAAGATGTTGTAGTTTATATTTGTTCATACAATATTTGTATAATAGAGAATATAACTTTTCTTATACATTATCAGTAGTAAAAACATGATTTTCAGAATAATTTAAAATTTCCAAGCTCAAATCAAAAAGCTTCTGCTTTATTTCAGCTTTATATTGAAGATATAAAAAATGAATCTATATAGTAATTTGATTCTGAAAATTGGTATAAGAATGCTGTCTAAAATGCACCAAAGGTAATAACATTCTACACATCCTTTCTATTGGATACTGCCAAGTTGCCTATGCAGGTCCAGTATTATATTTGAAGTGGCAATATGTAGCAAATAATAAAAGAAAACAAGTGCAGCTAAAATTCTTTTTAAATCATTTTAGAAATACTCTCTATTAAATTATTAATATTATATATTAATTTTAAATCATAATAAATTGAATAAATTGCATACCAATAATGTTTTGCAGTAATTGTGCTAAGGTTTAAAAAAATAATAATAATAAAATATATATAGTAATAAATAAAGAATATTAAAAAGCATACTTTTCATAATGAGTCATGAATTCACAGAAGAGTTTGCTAATTTTTGCCAATTCTTCTATATTGATACTTTTTTTAAGACAAAGCTTTGTTGCATATACAAACTTAGCCCATCTGTTTAAATATCTTAATAATATAAAAATATTAAAAATCTAACTCAAAAATTAATATATAGCTTATTGTACATAATCTATCTTTCTGGAAGATAGTTTTATAAAAGTGGTAATGAATATAGTATCACTCAGTTTAACCAGTCTTCTGCCTTGAATGTAGCTGAATATTATTGAATATTAATAAGTGGACACCCAAAGTTTAATGGTATGTTTTTTCGATTGCTTTTCATAGTTTTATCTATTTTAGTCCAATCACTATTAGAAAGAATGTAATCAGCATTAGAAATTTGACTATCTTTGAAAAAAGTATCAGACCAATGTCGAAGCATTGCTAATGCAACATTTTCAAATAATCTGTGCATAATGTTAATAAAGAATAATGTAAAAAACTCAATTGAATTAAGTTCAAATAATATACTTCAGCCATTTAAACCTATTAAATAAAATAAAATAATATTATTTTTATTTTATTTATTGAAAAATAATAATATACCTTACTTTTGTGCCTCATCTTTATATAGCTTCCTCTATAGCTATTGCATCATGTACATAATTTTCATATGTTCTTAATAGAAGATCTTTAGAATCATACCAACATCCAGACATACCAGTTAGAGGCTTAAGTGGATAGTATACATGTTGATTTCTTTAACAATAAATTCTCTATATAGAACAAAACTGGCATGCCTTATATGAGTTATGTTCTGTCATATACATAACCTTAGCAAGTGCTAGAAGGTCACCAGACAAGCTTAGAACATATGTACAAAGAGTAAAAATATTCATTGTTATGCCATTGATATACTGAACACTATCTATATTTATTAATACAAATTAGTGAGTATAATATTATATATATATATATATATATATTGATAATATCTTGTAACTGTTTTAACTCATTAACCAATAGTCATAAAAAAAAGTTAAAGTTTTTTGGTACCTTTGGCCTTAGAATAATAGTAGAGATCATTAAATTTTTCAATGAACATGTATATCTAATAATAGGTTTGCATTTATAACAAGTATGATCCAACAATCATCCTGCTTTTAACAAAAAATTTGATAACCATCTGTAGATAATATTATAGCAACATCTTTATAATTTGAAAAAAATTCAGAAGAAACCAATGACTTGTATCAAAAACCATCAAATATATTACCAATTTTGGTACCCAAAGTATAACTATGTGTTGATATATAATTGTAGTAGTAATGAAGAGTTTTTGCAATTTAAGTGAATCAATAAGTGACCAGTATACTGCTTTTTTTTGAGATATTTTGGATACTTTATCAAATTTATAACAAGGTTCTTTACATCTTGGACAAATATTTTTATTACTAAAATCACCTGCAAATAATATGTATAAATTAATACAACAGTCTATAAGAAATGATTTTAAAAATACAAGGTTTTTAAGATTAAAAAGTAATTTTAAGAATTTCCATAACTTCAAGAATTTCATTAAATGCAGTCTCATAAATATTATGATTGTCTTTAATTTTAAAAAGTTTTAACCCTTTAATTAAATTTTCTGAAATATCTACAAAGTAAATTAGAACATTATAATAAATTCCAATAACAATAATCATAGAATATTTTTATATGCTTACCAAATTCAGTATGTTCATTTTCTTCAACTTTTAAAGATTCACTTATATCATTACTTTCATTAGACGATTCTTCAAATATCATATTACTCTCTTGAATATCCAACAATTTAACTAGATTATTGGTTTTATTAAATGATTTTTAGACATCATATTACCATCTTGAATATCCAATAATTCAACTAAATTAACAGTTTTATTAGATGATTCTTCAGACATTATACTATCATCTTGAACATCCAATGATTCAACTAGGTCATTAGTTTCATTAGATGATTCTTCAAATATTATATCACCCTTTTGAACCTTCAATAATTCATTACTTTCATTAGAGAATTCTTCATTTCTAATATTTTTTTTTTTTTTTTAAAAAAAATGCGAATTGGTATACTTTATTAATATAATATAATTATTTAACTATTTATTTTTTTTTTTGGTATTAAGGTGACCTCTTTGGTCTTTTGACTTTTATTAATCACTTATCAGTATTGTGGTTC